AAAGATGACACCACCTGTGGATCTTGAAACAGGACTTGATTGTTGCAATTTCATATCCTTGATGCCCATTGGTCAAAGTGATGGTCACAGTCTTGATCCATTGGGGATGAAGAAAATCCAAAACACAAAGCTCAAAGGGTTAATATTAGCTCAGGCTCGATGGGAATGCTGAGATGCCACCCATGGGGTTTACACTGCCTGATGCAAGACTGTGGATCACAGGGCAGTAAGGGGTCTTTGATGGTTTGGGACACCTTCTAAGACATTTCAGCTGCCTCTCTCTTCACCATATTTGAGCCAATTATAGCCCATCAGAAGGGATGAATATCTTCAGGCCACAACTGAATTCCCCAGTGCATCCCTGGAAGGGATTTTTCACTCCTGAGCCATTTGTGTAAAGTAGACATTTACCATGTCATGTGCAGACATGACATGGAAACAGCACAATCCCATCTCACGTGATCTGCTTCTTATAAGCCTCTTCCCTTAGCTGGCTCAAACCCCAGCTTGTAGCCTCTGGTGGTGGTTGTGCACCCTCTCTGCACCTGAATGGTTACTTTGAGTGTGGTCAGTTAAGCACCTGAAGCTTTTGCAAATGGCCAGTTGTTTTGAGTCATTAATCATTTTTAACATTCCAGTCTCTCACAACTGCCTTTCAGTGGGCTTGCTTTCCCAGTGTATTGGCCCTGAGCAAGAACTCAATGGAAGAATTTGGATTAATGAGCTCCATGTTAGTAATAAGGAGTTTGAACAAGTACAATTATCAATGTTGACCAGAAATTAAGATTGATGAGCAGAGTGCCTAGAAATATGTCTTTCTCTAATATAGAATGAATTTCTGAATATCTCTCTGGGTGAAGTGACCAAGAGCAATTATTTTCTTAGATGGTTCAGTTGTGAAGAAGCTGACATGTTTTGAAACTGCGAGCAAAAGCTGTTCCACAAACAAGCAGTTTATTTACTTTCACTTGGCAGATGGATGGACATTTTCTCTCTGCCTGTCTCTGATGAATTTTATATCACCAGACTGTTTGGCTGAGAGTCAGTTTTCTTTCAACTGAGTGTTAAATGCTGCTCTTCGCTATTGTGCTCTTGGGCAGATAGAGTTTGGTAGGGAGGAGTGTTACAAGGGTAAGAAATTTTTTCCTAGAATGATGGCTATAGCAGGTGGACAGACTTTTTTCTTCTCCATGTTGGGTTCCATAATGAACACTGACATACTTATCTTCACTGAGAATGTCATCTGCACATATATGTTGTCATGTTTGGTTAGGCCATGGGCACCCTATACAAGCACCAGAAGATTCCTTATTTGATTTCAGAAATCTAGACAGAAAGCAGATTTTTAATGACTACTTGTAAATCAATAGATGCTTTGCCAGTGCCAGTCCTAGCTCTTGATGTTGGCATATGAAAATTAGCACTTGAAGTTTAAAAATGTTTCAGGAGTGTTATTGAGTACCTGAAATGTTTTCAGCATACCAACAGGGGAAGAAAATAGAATGAATCATTCTGAAGGACATTCTTATATTAATTGTATAGAAGCAGCATGGAGATAATTTAACAATGCTCCATGAAGGAGCAGAAAGGAATAAATTTTTCTTGTTTAGAGTCTCTTGTTTTTTAAAATCTGCTTGGTTTTAAAGGCTTTATCCTACACAGGGGGAGCAGACATTAACTATTCTGCTGTCAGTACTTGAATATCTCATCAGGAATAGTTGCACAAATTAATAATCAGGTGATGATATCTATGCCCTGAAGTGCCTAGGAATTTTCTCTCTATTAGGTATGTTTCACAAGCTCCCTTGAAATAATACAGAAGGATTTTTTCCTAGAAATATTCAGGATGCATAGCTATTGTTTTAAAGATAAATCATTCTTTCAAGCCTTATTCTCTTAGGCTGCTAGTAGTCACAACTATTGTGATGTGTCAGTAGTCTGACCATCACCCCAGAGGAAATTTGTGTGCATAATGAGACATCAGCTTCTGACCAGTGTTAGGAGGGTTTTTGATGTAGTTCATTAAATTTAAAATGGAAATGACAGATTAGTAGCAATTAGCTATTTCAGTTATATCTGGTGTGATTTGGAAAACTTGTATAATCTCTCTGTGTCTCGGTTCCTCACTCAGGAAAGATTAGGGTTCTGTTTTTACGTATTCATGTCCTCCCCATCTCTCCCATTAATGCAGTGCATATACTAAGGCAGGTGTTAGATGGGTCTGATTTAGTCTAGTGGTTTTGTAATCACAACACTAACAGCACTATGCTTATAATTGAAATCTTTCACTGATTCCTCTTGATTAGCTAAGGCCAAACATGGCTCTATGGTATTGCACTCCTTTATAGGACTCTTTCTCACGGCTGATGCAAAGTCACATACCCTGCAGTGTACCCCAAACCTGCACATTGCTATCTCATAAATCTCTGTTTGTAGGATTTGAGAGAAACTGGAACAGAGGCATTGTATCTAAGGTTGACTTTCACTGTCAACAGCTGGTTATTTGTTGTGGCTGATAATTTTCAGAAAGCAAAGAGATGTCTTCTCCAGGAAATTATTTCCTGAAGCCTTGCATTGGTGTATGTACATAAACATAGTTTGAGAAGTATTACAAAATAATCCATGATAAATTAAATGTAACGTTTTGAGACTGCAGATGCAGAGTAGATGGCTGCATGGACAACTGCCATCCTTATTATATGAAACAGAAACATGAGATCAGATTTAAAATAGAACTAAGAGACTCAGATGATGGAAATTTAATCACTGAAGTAGAAAGCTGCGATTTCAAAATTCCCTTCTGTTAACAAGCACATATCACTTTCAGGACACTCCCTTTACCTTAGTGCTATCCTTTATGCCTGACTCACTACTCCTTTGCAGTGAAGCATAACACTAGCAGCCCAAATTTCTGAAACTTGATTTTCACTTCAGTACAAAGCAAAAGATGAGTTTTCCCCCTCTTCTTCTCTTGGTGTAAACAGAGATGGAACTCAAAAGCACCTCAAATATAAAAATATAAAAATAAAATTAATATCTTTAATTATTTAAAATTTTAAGAGAACTCCAGAAAACGTGTGTAAAGTAATTAACTTCTTTTCTCTGAAGTCAGTAATGGTGGTGAGTTATGGTGTAAGAGAGAGGAAGAAATATACTGCAATTGTTGAGGTGCTACCATTAATTCAAAGTACAAATCACCCTTAACCAGACAAAATTTACATGTTTTCCTAATAAACAGAAGACAGAAGGGGAAATGATATTTTTTACATTTTAAAAATTGAGTACTAGGCTTGGGGTCAGGTTTGCCACTATTGCCATTGGATTTGAGATTCCAAGTCACACTCTTCTCACTTAAATTAAGCATACTTCTAAATACAGTCAAAATTCTCCAGAAGCATTTACTTTCATCTTAGTTCATCATTAGAAAAATGTGGGTTTTGTACATCCCCACCATGAGATCATGTCTGATTAACACCAGAACAAGGAAGCAATTGGATTCAAGCACTTGAGGTAAAGGCTTCTTGTTGGTTTAGCTTTAACTTGAATGATTGTATTATCTAGCTGTAACAAAACAAATCAAAGCAAAAATGGATCTAAATACATCTTTTTCTAATCTAAGGTCAGTATTAGCTTATTGAATTTACGTATCAGGAAAATCTAGATATAAGTCAGTCTGAGTAATCACTGACAAAAATATTTTATTGAAAGAGGCACACCAAAGACAAAGCAGCAGTTTTTAAGACTTTACTAATAACAAGCCGAAATATTCCATTGATTTTCTCTGTGGTGTTTCTATAGTTGGATTTTTTTGTTTGTTTGTTCATTTGTTTGTGTTTTCTTTGAAATATGTATTTTTAACACACATACTGAAAGAAAAAAAACTAATTGCATGCATAACTGTAACAGCCTCTGCCTGGGATGAGAGTGAAGATCTTTAGGTTTCTAGCACTTTATTGAATAAACATCGAAGGTGTTTTATGGGATTCTTCCTTTTTCAGCATTTCTCTTCTGTGTGTCCAGTATCTAAAGATGGGGAAAAGCAAAGAAGAGCCAGTTCCTATGCTCTGGAAAGGATCACACCAGCTAGCAAATGATAAAAACTATATTACTTGATCTCTTCAGTCCTTGTGAAATATTTTGTCCAGATTTAGCAGTTTTTGAAAAGGCAATAAATAATGCAGTCTTGACACTTTAAGTTCATTTTTGCACCAAAACCTGGGGCCAGATCCTTAGTGAACAAACTTTTTAATGTGAAAAATGAGGCATATCTGTTTCAAGCCAAAATAAATTAAAAAAAAAAAAAAGAAAGAGAGAATAAGTTTTATCCGTTATTATCCCTCTAAATCCAGTATAACATGGAAAGCTGGATTGCAAAATATCATTGTGTATAATAAACTGGTTGATTTCAAATCCACTTATTATCAAGTCAGTCAGCTCCCCACAGATGACATTCATATGTTGTCAGTGTGTCTTGCAAATTGCATTTGTGATAATTGCAAATTAACTTACTTTATAAAGCAAACCAGTTAAAAGGACAATTTCAGAGACTAGGCTGGGCAAACCTTCAGATATGAAAAGTTAAACATACAGTCCTACCTGTTCAAGATGTAAGATTTATTTGTTCTTTTTCTTTATTAGTTCTGTGACTTGTTTTTCTTTTTTTAATTTGGTGCGCACTGGAAGATGCATATTAGCCACTAAAAGCCAGGAGAACAATGGCAAGTAGGGCAGGGTCTTTCTGGCATTTCAATTTCATAGGTCACACTAACTGTGTGACTTAATTTCTTCTTCAATCTGACTTCTTCTTAAAAGACAAAAGCTTAATAAAATACATAAATAGTTTTGAAACCTTTCTGTTCCATATACAAAGAGGAAATAATAGTAAGGGCTCTGAGTTACTCATGCAGAGATGTGTCTCCTTAGAGGTCCAAAGACCCTGAGAAAGGTTCCAGTGAGTGACAGTTCAGAGGTGTGCCTCAGTGGGAAGTGGCCCTGACAATGGGCTTTTCTGAGGGAGTGCCTTGAGAAAAGGGAAGTCTCTTGAATCAATTTCTCATTGTAGTCCTAAATCAAGACGTTCTCCAGTGCTTATCTGTCCTGCTTCTCAGCCCAAACAATGCATAGGTACCCAGGGTTTAACAAGCATTAAAATTAAGGTAAGTTTTGGAAAAAAGAATATAAATGACTTTTGACTCTTTTGACTCTTCAGTTGCCAAGAGATTTAGAATTTATTAGACCTATATTGTTTATTTCATCATTTATTGATCAACATCTACACTCTACTATCAAACATGACATGGGGTGGGGTGTGTTGAAAAGTATGACTTGACAACCTTAAATGAAGTCTAAGTTTTAGGTAGTCTTAATCAGACAAACAGTCTCAGTGATTCCCTTCATCTAAGACTGTGAATTAGAACACTGAATAAAAGATTTAATTGTTTAATGGTTGAATATACTTTCCAAATTAGGCACAATATAATTTTCAAAACCACCTGAAATTGTTTTTCTGACAATTTTACTATTTTTTTAAAGAAAATATATGTATATAAGAACTATTTCTTTAAAAATTATCTTTTGCATTTAGGAGGATATAATAATAAGCCCCAGAAACTTTTCAAAAACAGCTTTATTCAAATACCTGTATAGTGTTGATTTAAAATAAAACCATTTATTTTCCTGCCACTTGAACTAACAGCTCTTAAGTTTTATGAAACTTGTTTTAGCTATTTTCATTTTACTTTCTCTATCTACTTCCCACATTCACCAGGTGGGCTTTGTACAGACAAGCTTTACAGCTGTAGTGGTAGATGGGCTGGCAGCTCCTGTCAGTTCTCTTCCTTTTCTCTTACTCCAACAACCCACTGCTGTAAATCAGACATTGCTGGGCACCAACCAACAGGCATTAGCTGTCGTTGCAGCTCAGAAATAAAAGAAAGGGGATAAATAAAATAAAAAAGAAATGGTAAAATATGTATAGCATTTTTAAAAATTTTTAAGCTCCCATTTTTGACAGGACACTGCTTAGAAAGAATTTGGGGTTTTTTGGGGGACTTTTTTGCATAATGATTATTTTTTAGATGGTTTAGATTGTTGAGATAATTTCTATCCCACTAGATTAACTGGACTGTCTGCAAGTATATTTGGTTGGCATGCATTTTTTCAGACACAAAAGAGCCAGAGAGTCTTACTAGACAAAAATTGTCAGGCAATGAATTTTATTTTGCACATCATTGACTAAATTTCAGCACCATATGCTAACTCAAACCTCTTTGTAGCACAGGATGAGGAAGGTAAAGTCCTGTCTGCATATGTGTGAAAAGAAATGTTTTGTCTTTTAGCTTGTCTATGCTGGCATAAATGAAAATATGTGTTCTTTGACAAGTTGTGAATCAGAAACTTTTTATGTATGGACAGGTTTTGTTCCCTCCTGGTCACTTTGGATGTAATTATTATTATGTAAAGTATTATACTGCTTTTACTTTACTGTTTTTTGTATTTTGTATAATTAATTGTATATAAACATAAGAAATACCCTGTGGGGTCAGCCCAGCTGTCCTGCTGTTCTGCCTGCAGCAGTGAGAACAGGAGATGTTACTCAGAAACAATCCACAGATCTGGCCACCTCCTGCAGCCCATTCCCTGAGTATTCCCCCAGCACCTACAGCTGCTGAATTAGAGGTGTGAGCTTGTGAATCCATCCCTAATAGTTTTTGGTAGCTCTCCATGTACCTGCCTTGTGTGCATTTGCCTGCTCCCGTTTGCAGCCTGCTCACATTGTTCCCCACTGCAGCATCCGTGGGAGAAGGTGCAGAAGTGCCTCTCAGTCCTCTACAAAAATACTCCTAGGAGCAGCTCACCTCGGGGAAGCAGCACTGGTCTCGCTGGAAATGTCTTTTTTTGACTCAGGTTGGTTGGCTTGTTTCTAAGCTTGCTCAGACTTACTTTTAAATCTTCCTTGTCTGCCCTGTGTGTCCTCTCTCCGACTAGATTTTTATATTGCATTTTATATGCATTTATATTGCCACACAAATTATGTCCATTTTTGTTTCTAGCACCAAAAGCTGTTGCTACTTTAAGATTTATTTCGTTCCTTTTCCTGTTCTACATCCCCTTTTGACTTGTGTTTTCTAAAAAAATTGTATTAATATTAGCCACAAGTATTTTAACTGGCTTAGTGTTTTCTAACCTCGTTTTTCCCTTTCTGCTAATTTAAATAAAGTACTTACATGTTCCTAAGACTGTTTTTGATTGCTCCATTTCATGGAGAGGGATGAGCCACTATGTGTTGAATAGTAAACCATTAAAATTTCCTTCTTTTTGTTTTATATTTTCCCTGGCTTTTTCCTCTTGCCACACACCATGCTGTTCTAGGAGCACAATTAATGGCACAGCTCACCTCTTCCCTCTCCAGACAATTAGAATTGGCTTCTTACCTGGGCACACCGAGCAGGAGAATTTACTCTTTTTTTGGCTGGCCCTGTGCATAGTGTGACTTTCATACTATAGCTGCTGCCAGTGCTGCAGCTGAGATCACTCCAGAATGACCCAGATGGGGAAACCTCTGCCTTACAGCTTTTTGTTACGATTTTTTCACAGCACTTCATAAACAAGGGCAGCATTCCTTAAGTGGTCGATTTTTTACTTTATTGTGATAAAATAACATTATAAATTAATCTATAATTTTAGTGTACGTGTATTTCTTTTTTCCAGGAAACCTCATTGCAGATTTTTTTGATGTGCTGAGCATTCACACATTTTCCTCTACATGACCAATGCCACTTATTAGCCAATGTATTATGAACCTTTTGATACGGCTCCAGGTGCTGGTCCCTGGATGCGATATGTCTGAGAATTTAAAAGTGAAAACAATCAGAGACAAGATCAATCAGATAGTGAGTGAAAGTCTCTGAACATGGAGGCATTTGTTACAGAAGGTAACAAATGTTGTTTTACATTAAAGCAACATCTGAATGAGACCCTTCAGAAAAACAGCAACGCTGTCTTGCTGAAACGAACTTTGATCAGTCCGAATCTGTTTGCTCACTGTTTGCATTCCAAATTTAGCAAACACCTGAAATTCTCTTGCTGATACTTATTCAAATGACAGGATTCATCTCTTCTTATGGTTCATATCCTTCTAAACCAGCTAACACAAGTCACAGTCTGGAATGACAGCTCTCTATAGTCACAAGAGGCCAAATAACACAAAAAAGTAGAGGCACTGGGCTAAAATCTTGTCGTGGGTATGTCAGGGGGGCCCTACCCACACTTCTTGCAGTGTCAGTGGTGTCATACCTGTGGTGTTGGCTTGCAATCAAAGCTGTGCTGTCACTCAGAGCCAGTGCTCTGTGGCACATGTTCTCTCTGGCCCTGACACCCAGGTAAAGAGTGAGCTTGGATAAAAACATCCTGGGAACAGCAGGCACCAGTCAACAAGACCTGTCAAACATATGTCATTTCATATTTACTTGTCGTGCTTTTGACACCTTTTAAGCATCTATCTTTCCTAATATTTCACAGATGCAAAATGAAAACCTCACGTTCTACCTACTTTTTCAACCAAATTTGGACCTAAGGAGTCTCAATTTCCTCAGACCTGGGGCCCAAAGCATTTGCTATGGCACATGTTACAGCCATTCCTGTCCTGCTGATATTAAGCCTTTTCCAGCATAAGACACTGCTTTCCACAATCCTGGCAAGTGAGCAAGAAGACATAAAGGGTAAGTAAAATACTAACAGTTCATCCTATGCTAACCATCCCAGATGTCTAATCTGAACAATCTAATTGTCAAGGCACTTTCTATGGCCCATAGAGTGAAACAGAGACTTGCAGTAGAAGAGGTGTCCAAGACAGGCAAAAGTGAATCAATTAATTCTGAGAGCTTCAAAGAGCAGCATTTCCCACTGCTGGAAGTCATATTCAGTAAAGCTCAGAAATTCCTGCTCCATGCAAGAGCAGAGGTCCTGGTAGAGCTGCTGGGCATGCAAGCCTTGCTTTCTGTACACAGTGGAGGATATTCTCTCCAAGTAATATCATTGTAATTGCAGATGCACTTAGGCTACATAATGTTCTGTGGACCACCAAGAACGATTCAAGAGTTATTTTGTCCTGGAACAATAACGTGACAAAAGAAGAAACCAAGAAATACACTGTGAAGTATATTTTGATTTATAAGTTCTTCAATACCACTAAGGAAAGGAAAGTAAGTTCTTCAGAGGTTGCACATAGGGTAAAGTGAAATAATAGATTGTATAATTCAGGAGACAAGTTTGCATAATTTCCTTTTCAATAGCTAGAACTGTTTACTTTCATGAAATTTCTTCTTTTTCCTCCTCTTAGGAAAGACTGCAGGAGAAGGAAAAAATAATACATCTTAAATTACATTCTGGTTTTAATGCTAAAGTTAAGACACAACTTTTTGCAAAAGAAACAGAAGACATAATTAAGGAGAGTGACTGGACAGAATTTACTTACAAGGCACCTCCAGGTCAGCCATTTCGAACTTATTGTTAGGAAATCCAACCATTTATGATAATTTCCCATCTTACTTGGAGAATTTCTGAAATCTCATTATTATCTTCTGCTACACTTTTTTTGGTACAAATATATTAAGAATATGGTTCATAATACCTTGAGATATTGCAGCATTATTTCCCTTATTAGATGTGTTCATCTAATAAAGAAAACTCCAGCTCTGCTGAGCAACATGTCAGTATGACCAAAACACTCTTCATTTTCCCTACCAACCTATGTCTCATGAACATTGTCTTCTGTATCACATGATTTCAACAATTTTTAAAAGATCAGAGATTTGAATTTATTTTTAAGTGGGTTAGTAAGGCTTTGGTGTTAGTAGCAGATGTGCTTCCCAGTTTTCACTGCCTAAAAGGCAAAAAGATCTATTTTCTCTCACATAATACTTTCTCATGCTTCTAGAAATAAGCCAGTATAATGGGCTTGTAAAGGCAGACATCATATTATTAGGAAAATAATGTAAAATAAACATATTTTTTTCTTTTAACCATTTCTTTGTTGTAGTCTACATTCAGAATCTTTCGTGCATCATATATAACATTTCTTTCTTCAACTGCACCTGGCACATCAAAGCAGAAACTCCTGAAGATATCCAGATCTTTACCTCATACAGGTAAGGATGTTTAGCAAAAATAAGTATGAAACCACGATTTTAGGCCTAAGTCTTTGATTTAAAAAACTGATATTTCCTTCTCACAGGCATGCAGGAAAAGTTTTTGCATGCCAGCAATATATAAAAAATACAAGGAAGAAAAATATTGGATGCCATATGAAAGAAATATATTTCCAACCATCAAGGAAAATAAATTTAAATATAACTGTGAGAAATTTGAGAAATAGTTCAAGAGGACTGTCTTATTACAAAGCTTTCACACCTCAGATAATAGGTAAGTATTGTCTAATATTGTATATTATGAAAAGCTTATTTATTGGTTACTTCATGGAAAGCAAAAAAGGAAATAGGTGAGACAAAGTAATATTAATTCTAAATATTTAGGTATTCATCTTAGTGTGACTGTTACACAAAGATTAAACAAAATGGATTAGGGCTGAAGGTTTTTTAATTTTTTTTCTGATTTAATAAGACTGTCTATCTATAATTTTAATTAAAATCAAAGATAGGCTAATGTGTGAAAACAATATTTAAAAGCATTATACCCTTGTTTTTCCTTTTTTTTCCTTTTCTATCCTTTTTTATAGTGCTGAGCAAGTGTGATTAAGAAAAAGAGCATAAATAGTCACAAGTCTCATTTATAACCTGAATTTAATGTTCTCAAACATTAGCAGCATTTTTATTTATTTTTTAAGTTAAAAATATCTTGGCAGTTATTTGCAATTATCAACAGTTTTGAGTGATCATATAAAATTACTTCTCCTAACTTCTCTGGGAAGTTTGAATTAATCTCATGGGTAAGAAATTCACCTGAATTTTAGCAAAGATTGCAGATTCAAATGCCTTTTAAGTCATTAACATGTTGATCACCTTCCAGACCTGTAACCTGGGAATCGGTCATAGCTCAAGGGATAGCAAAAATATCATTCAAAACTCTAAAAATTTGTTCTGAGTTAGATCTCACCTAACGTTCTCTAAGACATTAGAATAGTTTGCTTTACCTAAAGCTTTACATCAATCAGAGCAGGCTATAATCTGACATATGACAAAAGGATGAAAATAAATTGCTGCCTATTTTTGACATCCTTACAGAAGGGAGAATGGTCTGGCTGCAGTATTTCAGAGACCAAATAATTAAAAAAAAAAAAAAAAGAAAAAGAAAGAATAAACAACCCTGCATCTTACTCTTCACATGGCTCATGACTTCCCAGCTCATGGTGTGTCCCCAGCCTCTAGGGCTGCTGGAACAGCAGTGGTGCTGCACTCACCCTGTCTGCCTGTGTGCCTGTTCTGTGTTCTGTTCTCTGTGCCTGAGCCACATTGCAGCCTGTCACCCCCAGACCTTGCTGACCCTGCCTGCAGAATCCTGCCATGCACTGCTGCCTCTGCTGGGAGGGCTTTTTCAGAAAACTCTGGCTGGAGTTCTTCCTTTCATAGAAATGCAGCAGCAGCTAAGAAGGGCTGAGGATGCCTGAGCACTGAGCACACACTCAGGATCAGTGCCCTAACACTTGCCATGCCAAAAAACAACTGTAGACTCGCTTATATGAATCCAAGGCTGAAATCCTGGGGACCCAAATGTCCATTGCTTCCAATCCTGTATTTCTTCCATAGCAAGTGCTTGCTTATTCCTTTACAGGAGAGAGAAAGATATTTCTTCAGAAATCTTCATGCATTGAATCAGACAAATTCTCTGGGCAACAGGTTGTTCTGAGAAATTGTGGATGCCCCGTCCCTGGAAGTGTTCAAGGGCAGGTTTGATGGAAATTTGAGCAACTTGGTCTAGTGGGAGGTGAACCTGCCCATGGCAGAGGATTTGGAATTAGGTGGTCCTTAAAGTCCCTTCTAACTCAAACCTTTCTAAGAGCTCCTTCAGTTACCCCTCTGTGAGAGATGAAATTCCATTTTTTGAAGTAATAATACCAGGGCTGTGAGTAGACAAAACACATGTATCCTACATGACGTGGAGCCAGTAGCAGACTCAAAGTCTCCTCAACACCAACACAGATTCTGGAGAGGGCCTTCTTCTCCTGCCCATTCTTTCTGCCTTTCCTAGAAAGATATGTGAAAAACCCCAACTATATCACTTTATTTTGAGACACTTACTGAACAGCAACTTCAAAGAAAATGTGTCACTCACGAGACTGCCTCCTTTGGGTGTGGCAAACTCCTAAACATTCTGGGTTTATTTTAAGGACTAATGTACTTTCATTTGCTTTACATCAATTTAAATATGAGAAAGAGCATGAGGTACAGGAGGTCTCTCTGTGCTCTTTATTTTTCAGAGAAGCTGAACCCACCAATCAACGTCTCAGTTTCCCTTGAAAACAGAAGTATTAAAATTCACTGGAAACCTCCACCTACTATTGGCTCAGCAAAGAAAAAATGTTTTTTGTACCAAGTGAAAATAACAGATCACAAGGTAATCAGTTTCCCTGGTAGTACACTTAGTCTGTATAAAATAACTTCCACAAAAACAAGGAATCCCTCGAATTTAACAAAATTTAATTTCAAACAAACTTTAAAGAAATTTCATTGTCTTTAATGAATAATCCAACTTGTCTTTCTGGTAAAAATGAAAAATCAATACATTTTATGAAGTCTTTCAGAGTCAGGCTTGCATTGAAATGAACTGGAAGTTTTTGTCTCCTGTATTATATTTGAATCGCACATTAGTATCATATAGACTGTATTGACTTTTTTGTTATAGAAAAAGAAGTATTGTCTGAAAGCTAGGAAAGGTTGTCAAGTACCATGGGAAACAAGATTAGAATTTGAAATGTTGGTGAAGCCTGAAATCAACAAGGCAAAACTGTAATAATAAGGAAAATCCTATGATTAGGAAATACAGCTCAAATATGTCAACACAAAATAAGGAATTGAAATATGGGAGTCAACACAGAAGAAAAAAGGTCTGTGGATTACATGGAACCAGAAACTGAGTCAATCATTCTGTGTTCTTAAGCAAAGGTCAAATGTTATTCAAGCACATATGACCAGTATGTCACATGTAAGATGCAGGTTGTGACTAATTTTCCTGTTTCACCTGAAGTTTCATGTTGTGCTTTGGGCACCACAAAATATTAATAGACATCAGAACTGGAAAAGTCTTAAAGGGAAGAGAGAGAAGCCACATATTGCACAGGGTCAAATCCACATTACGTCAGTCAGTACGAGGAGAGCAGATCATGCTTCCCTAACAGCAAGGAAGCAAAGATAACACCACTTTTAATTCATTCAAGCAAGAGTTTTCTCTCTTTTTTCATTAATTCCTAAATTTTAAACATTGTTTATTTACAGAAGTTTGCTTCAGTATTTAAAAGTGGTGGATGATTTAGAGATCACTCAGCTTTAAACTCCGTCACTCCATGTTTGGGCTTGATCTTTTGAAGTGATGTGCTTTTTTCATAGGCACAATTAAAGGTGTTTCAGGATAGTAAAAAAAATAGTGGACATCCTTCACCTGAAAAATGGAAGATTTTATTCTACCTGAGAAAAAAGTGTAGCACACTACCCACACCAAAATCGTGAAACTTGCAGTTCCATAGTTACTGGGTTCATCCTATATGTAGTGTGATAAAACATGGAAGGGGAATCAGAGTTTTCAAATTCCTAATGTCCTGCCATAAATGATACCTCCTTCTATCTCATCAGTTCCAGTCTCTCTTCATGCTCAGTTCTGACTTTTAACACATATCAGATGAGAGCCAAATTATATCTGGACATAAAAACTTTTTCTGAAAATCTCCTCCTACTAGTTAGAAATATAAATAATAGTATCTGACATCCCTACTTTATATCTGTTTGAACTGCAATGCAAAATATTTTAAAATAATCCCATAAACCTCTCTTGATAGATTGTAAATGTCACTGCAGAGAACTATAAGTATCCATTTCATAAGCCAGCAAAAAAATGTGCAGCACAAGTGAGGGTAAAGAAAGAAATTTGCATAGCAAACAAGATCTGGAGTGAATGGAGTGAACCAGTATTTATTCACGATGGTAAGTTATATACTTACTACTCACAACTGTTATCATGGGTTATATTATTACTATTCAATATATTTACTTCATTATTGCCTCTCTTCTTCTCCAGGCTGTCATTGGGTTATAACTGTACCTAGGGGTCCACAGCACACACCAGGCTCACATGGCTCTGCTGCAGGACAGTCCTTAGTCTGAGTTCTACTCCCCTGGTCTTTAAAGAGTTGCTGTCCTGAGTTAAGCTACACTCGACTCTTGACAGCCTTTAGGAAATAATAATGGTCAGCAGCTGATAAGGTCCTAACACCACCATCCCTCCACCCTTCTACCTTGCCCTGCAAAGGACAGCCCACACATCTCTAAAAATACTTTCAACTGGAGTTAGTAAGCCAAGAAATCCACAAAAGTCATAACATTCATCAAACCACACAGTTCTTTAAGGAATAAGTCCAAAACGTCTCTCATTGCACTGTGGAATATTTTCTATTCTATATTTTCTATATCTGAAAGAAGTAGGAATTGGTTTAGCTCTCATTTAAATATATGTGCTCTGGCCCCAACAGCTCACTTGAGCACAAAGCAAACAAGAGCCTTGCAATACTTTTCCTTCAACCTCTGTGAAGAAAACACCAAACATTGGTGTGCTTACAAGGGAAACTTGTGCTTTCCATGATGAGAAAAATGCCTCCACATGTAGAAGCTTCCTGATGTCAGGTTAGGCAGAGGGAAAGCAGTAGAGTGGTGTAATGCTATATTTATGGAGAGAAACTTGTGTCTGTGTGTTGACATGCAAAAAAAGTATAGTACTACGGGTTGTAAAACAAAACAAGATAAATGCCATTATTTAATACAACAGACTGTATTTTGGAATATGTCTTTTTGATCTTTGAGCTTCAAATTCATATTTATCTGAGGACAGGAAATTCCAGGTAAGACATTATTATTTTTGAAATTGATTGAATATAAATTCAGTTATAGAGTTTACTGGATGCTGGCTGCCTACTCTATCAGATGCCTCATTGTATCCCACTGGTCTGCTGAAACCTTTTTTGCCCTAAATTCAATCACTTAACTTCAAAAGCATTTCACTTGTGAAATATCTGAGCAGAGAAACCTAATTGCCCTTCATGTTCATTGTGGTGAAGGAGAAAACTTTTCAGGCCATAAGAGTCTTGAATTCCTCTTTAAACACTCCCCTTTCCTCTCACTAAAGACAGAGATAGTCTGGGACCACTGCACGGTCTAGGAGGGGTCTGTCTGCCTGGCAGACACATCTGATGTGTAGACAGGGGAAATCAGAAGAGGTCCTCTGGGTGGAGGCAGGTAGATTTCCCTGCCAGCCTTTCTCCAGAAGAAGAAAATGGAGTTGAACAGTCACCATTCTGGTTCCAGCCTATCATACCTTGCTCTCAGCATCTCCTTTAGCTGTTTTCAGCATTGCTGCTTTCCCAGCTGCTGAGGTTCAGTAATCACAGCATGTTTCCTCTACTTCAGAAAAGTTCATGATGGACAAGACCACCATGGCACATAAGCTGTAATATCTGCATGTATTCAGTGCAGCATGATGGTTTACCCTGGAGCATCCTGCACATGTGGTGCAGCAATTCCCCTCCTTCCTACTCAGGAAGGATCAGTGTTTTTTATAAAATGGATCTATGGAGACATTCCATTGGAGGGTCAGGTGCTCAGTCAAATCTCTTTACATACCTCCTTTGATGCTGAGACAAATTTTTCTGTCCATTTTACTCTTTATTCTGTGGAAAATATTCTATCTGCTTCCAATTGGGAGCATGTATAAATGGATATTATGCAAGTAACATGGAAAGAAAAACATCCATTAAATATTTTTGTTTTGAAATGTGTCTATTTTTCTGGTGTTACAGAGTCTGTTTCTACTGAAAGTCTTGAAGAAGTATGGCATGACCTGCTTTCTGCTTGCTTCTCTATTACATTCTACTGTTTCATCTAGGAAATGTGTAGCATTTCTTTAAGAATGCATTTTAAAAAGGCATTTTAGCCTTCATTTAAAAAAAGCTGAAACATCAAATGAAATAACATAATTCAAAACATAACTAAAATATTTGTTCTGAAATATTCCTTTGACATGAAAAGAATTTGCTAATTTTCTCATGAGGAAAACATTAATTCTCCTTTGGAATTAGCATATGGCCTTGAAAAAAACCCTCACAATTTAACCTGAACTGAGCTGTTTACTATAGAAACTTTCTGCTAAAAAAAGAAATGTTTAATCAGCTTTATTCATATGTAGAAACTTGAAATAATTGGTCTAATTTTTAGAGCTGATGAGCATTCATAGATCACTTTGAAGTTTGTAGTAACTCAGAAGTGTTCTGCATTTTTGCAAACCAAGCCACTTGTTTTGGTTTCAAAGTCCTGTTATTTCTGTCAAACTTAAAGCATTTGCATCTGAAAAAAAAACCGTCATGAAATGGTCTACCCAAAAGAATATACGTGCTTCTTTTCTTGCTGCTTTCCAAAATGCAAGAAGTAAGAAAGCAGGAGAAGCAAACCTCTTTGTGGTTCAGCTGATGATAAGAGCAGGGCTTCCTCTTCTCCTGGGTGTGTGCATGATATAGGGTTAGCAGAATGATGCAGAGCAATTACCACAAACTAAAAAAAAAATTCTACTACGCAGTCCAGAGGTTGTTCAAAATAACTTTTGTGAGCCCGCATCTCAGAAAGCAAGAAGAAAAAAAACTTCCTTTTTATCTTAAAGTGTATAGTTTTGTACTTTAAAGAAGGAAAGGCATATTCTTGCAAGTTCTGCATGCGTCTGAGTTTTTTCTTGGTTTCATATGAAATTTGTGGAAATAAACAGGTTCAAACTCTGAACTTTTTTTCCATTCTTTTATACTTTGATTTTTAATCTAGATTGATCCTAAACCCACTTTTTAACTGGGCTCAGACTATAAACATTTTAAGAGCTGTCCTTGCCTGTTTTTCTTCAAAATACTTAGTTAAAATCAGTCCAAACTAGTTGTGGTTCTAAAGCTAGATATTAAACAAAATATAAAATTTCCCAGAAAAACATTTGTGAGACAACCAAATACATTGCTATTTTGGTATTTCGGGTATTTTGGAGGAGGAAATGCAAGGTAGAGAGCAGTAGTATTTGTTGAACAGTATAAATATGTATTGATGCCATTTCTTTAGGACTGTGCCAAGCAGGGTTAAAAAGGTAAGTGTAATAGAAACCAAATGCTGCTTCTTGACTCAAAGAGAATATTTTGTTTGACAAAATGCTTTTATTTTCATTTTGCCTTAAATCAGTTGCAGCTGTGAAGTGGTGAGGAGGCAGGAGCAGGGGACTCGTGGTGTGTGGAGATGAGAGGTAGCAGCAGCAGGAACTCAGGAGCTGGAGCAGCAGCAGCAGTACCCATAGCAGATGGACAGAGGGTTTGATATCCAGAGGAATCAAGGCTGTGTGGAAATATCCAGTGGTAGGACAGGCCATGCCCAGGATATGAGAGCAGAATTCCAGGAAAATGATGGAATGAAATGAAGCTAGAGGAACTGCTGGACAAAGACAGCACCAAGGCTGAGGGCTAAAAGGAGGAAGAGGAGGAAGGAACAGTGTTGAAGTCAGAAGCCCTTTTTCCCTGAAAACCTTCAGGAAATGTTTCTTTAAACCCGTGACAGTTCATGAATAGAGCAATATTTATGAATCCATATGCAATTCGTCCATTTAACAACCACTCTAGTCTCTCCCATAGAACTAATATTACCTTTCTTTATTTTTTATTTTTTATTTTTTTTTAAGAAAAGACAGTGGATATCCTGCTGCTAAGCCTCGGATTGTTTTGTCCTCTGGTTTTCCTTGGAGGTTTGCTGATATATGCATGTAGAAGGTAGTGTACATTTCTGGATGGCTGAATAAATTTCTGGTGGAAGAGGGGTCAGGATGAGAGTAAACCATACAATAGATAAAAGTCAAACACAGATTTTCTCAGATAAATTATGTTTATANAAGAAACAGTTAATTGTGCATTCCTGACTATTGTTCTAATAAATTATTTCTTGATGTCATGACCTAGTGTAAGACACTGAGACTGACAATTCTTCTCTCGCAGCTCCTACCACAGTTACCTGCAGGTCCAATCTCACACCTTACTGTGTGATATCTTTCTGCCACTATAAATGACATTTTTAACTCTTATTCTGACAGGTGCCTCTCTATCTTCAGTGTGACTTTACCCCATGCTTTCACAGGTTTTGCATTGAAGGCCACCTATATTAATCAGGCCAGAGATGAATGGCATGTCATGCTGTCCAATTTCATTTCATAATCCATGGGTGTTATGAAAGCAGTCTTTCACTCTAAGCTGGAGAGTTTACATGAAATAAATAAAAAAGGGGAGTCAGGCTGATGGAATTAATTTCTTTTGCTGTACTGTTAATACCATTAGTAGAGCAAAGTAATAATAGTGTCCCTAAACCTCCCAACAGTTAATGCTGCTAACTTTGTGCCACTGCTTTCTGCCTGGCAACACAGCTTTCCTGATGAGAGCTGCCCATGGCAGCAAAGGCTTTCTTGAACTGAAATAAACCTGTCCAGGATAGAATAATAATTCAAGATACCTTAATATTCGGAAGGTGCATTATATAAGTGCAACATTATCTAATTAATGACTAATCTTTATTCCTGAATTGTATAATAGAAATTATCAATTTTTAATGATGGAAAGAACAGATAGGAATAACTTCTTAAGTTATGGACACAGTAGCGTGCCACAAGTTCTCACTTTGCTCGGAAATAATATTTGTGTAGAAATCATAGGGTTTTTTATATCCATCCAGTCCTTTTAAAACTTTTGCAGGTTAGAAACCAGTCAGGCTAAAGAAGAGCTCGGGAAAATATTGAGAAAAGTGTCTACAGTGAAAAGAAAGAAAAAAGAAAGTTTAAATTGCTTTAGAAATAGTAGATGCCTGCCTTGGAACATATATTAGAAAGCATTAATGTCTGGTCTGTTCGTGCAGACAAGAATAGTCGCGTGCCTGTATCACTGTCTTGCAGGTATAGATGTCTGGAAGTCATAACCACGCCTGTTCCATGTCCTTCAGATAATATCAAAACGTGGTTAGCAGATGAGACTCACCACCAGGTAGAGTGGCTGTCCTTTTTCTCTCACCATATTGACACGCATGATGTTACTTGCAATTGGAATAAAAAAAAAAACCAAAAAAGGAAAAAGGTATGTACAGCATTTATAGTGAAGCCAGAAGAGAACAGAAAACTTGTGGAGGTTACAGAAAAATGATGTCAGTAGACAAGATGGAGAAAATCCTCAGGGGACTAAAATGTCTAGTGTGCTCCAAGGTATTTCAGTGTAGCCACACTCAGTGGGCCAACATTTTAAGGATGATCACCCTGAGTCCCTAAAGAATAGTCAGTTATGGGATGTTACACATGTAAGCATGTAGGCCAGTTATCAAGGGGAATTTCTGTGCTCATCTGCAAGTCATTGGCTATGCAGTAATAAATGTACACATTCTTATAGCAGGAAGGAGGAGGATGCACAATGCATGCAATATAACCTACCCCAGCTGTGCCCCTGCTTCAGGACAAAGCCCTGTGCAGAGGTGTTTACTTTGGAATAGCTAAAGTGCTATAAATTCAGATGCTTCCTTATCTCATGCCAGATTACAAGTCTTTAGTCAATTTGGCAAAACAAAGACTAAATAATTACAATATTTTTGTGACTGTCATTAACGGAGCTCCTGGGCTTGCACATTCAGTGTTTCTTATTGCTGTCATTGTGTTGAGTTGCAGGAAAAAATGTGCTAGCCAGACAGAAGTTTAGATGTGTGTAACTCCAGAGAAGCTACACAGTGAACTGCGTGCTAGAAGGCACAGTAAGATTGCTTCTTACTCGGTTCTGCAACACCTGAGGGGAAGGCACAGATGTGCCTAAATTATGGGGTTTTTTGGTGGAAAACACCACTGAAATAGAAAACTGTAATGGGGATTTTCTCTGTTCTGTGAGCTCAAAATATTTGTTCAGTGCCTCTGCAGGAGTTCTGTTAATTTCACTCTATTCTGACATATTATTGTACTTACACTGCAATATCAAAATATCTTCTAGTAGGGCATTCAGCAATTTAAATAGAAATTCCCAGTGTGTTCCCTTATACTGTTTTCTTTCCCAAGAGAAAGATGTATGCCTTCTAATATTGTGTCTTTTTTTTAAATAATATATCTATATGATTGCAAACTCTGACAGAAACCACAGATCATCTCAATCCAGGAATCATAATTTGAGTTGTAAAGCAAGAGGAATGGGTTATTTAATTTAATTTAATCTTCTCAAGACAAATTTTTGGGGAAAATGATGTGCATATTCTATATAATCAAATGACAAATTTAAAGATTGAAGTGTTTTGAACTTACACTTGGAGTTCATTCCACAAGCCTTGGGCTGGCTCCCAGAGCAGACTGTGCTCCTCTTCTTCACTACACTCATCTCCTCAGAAAAGCTCAAGAGCTCCAGAGCTGGCCTGAGGCCAAGTCTCTTATTCTCAAGATGCAGAATAATTTCTATGACACTTCTGGTCAATATAATTTGGCCAAATTTGATGCTAAAGGTGCCATATTGACCCTGAGCTCAGCTGGTTAAAGAGTATATTTATCACCTCTTCTGTGCAAAACCCATTTTTACCAGTAATTGTGAGCAAATTAACTGATAATACCCATTCTGACTATAAATATAGGCTGGCAAAATACAGACTCTTCACCATCAGGTTTATATTCTGCATCTCCCTTCACATTACAGCTGTTTAAGTTGCTATGTTGGGGTCTTTGTATTCAATATATATTCACCACGAAAATTATATTTAATGTTACTGGCAGAGAAAGAAGTGATTTCTGTCTCCAAACTATTACAAACACTGAATAAACCTTTGACAGAAAACTTCATCATAGCTGGGTAGTTACTGTCTACATGACAGCAACAAATTGTTAAGATGACATTGTGATCTTTTGATTCAAGTGACTGTTGATGGCACAATGGTCATATCATCCTGGAAGGTGCCAAGCAATAAAATTAAGGCTCAGAACAACTATACAAATTTGTCTGTGAGCAGCTTGTCAATTTAGAGAATGATTCATATAATCTTTGTATGTTGCAACAGAGTAATTAAACTGTACTAATCCCAGATATATGCCAAATAAGTTGAATGTTTGTAAGTATATACAGCATTTTAATGCCAATGAATGCAGATTTTGTTCATAACATATTTTTTATTCCACAGCAACGTATGTCAATGCAAATGGAGATGCACTCAGAGGTTACTCTGGGAACAACAGAAGAGAACAGAGATGAAAATATTCAACTACATGTTTGAAAGAATTTGTGTTAGAAGACTTATAGAGATGATATGCCTTTTTTATCTGCATGCAAGTGTACCTTGTACCTTTCCATGAGGTATACAATATTCTAACAGATCAAAGAACAGCTGATGTGGGAGTTTGTCTGAGCCAAATAACTCGAAGTCCTTTATGCTCTGACAACATACAACCCTTAAAATTGCTTTGGATCATAAACACAAAGCAGTATCTTGCAGTTTGTCTCTAAAAAAACTGATCATCAGCCCAGTAAAATTAGAGCATCTCAGAAAATATGAGCTAGTATTGAGGTCCACTTGGGTTAAAATTAAATTAGAGTTAGTGTTTCATAATGCTACAATAGCTTCCAAGTACTGTCTGATAGGTCAAGCCCTTTTGAAGACTGGCTTTTCATACAAATCTCATACCAGCTATTCAAATCTGATTTAAGTGGTCATGAGAACTTGTGGAAGCAGTAAATATTTCTGGAAACAGCAAGAGAATCTCACAAGTGCTCTCTAAAACTCAAAAAAACCCCAAATCCCTTTCTGAGTCACTGCATTGTGTAAGCACACATCAACCAGAAAGAAGAGCTATGTAGTGGACTTTGCAGCTTGCAAAATAAGTAAAACAAGAAAACTTTAGACGAGGTAAAGAAAACAAAGTTTTCTGCTGCACTGTGATTATTTATATAAGTTTAAGTCAGAGAAGTTAAAGTTCAGAACTGACCATTTTTTTAAAATTTATTTTTCCCTGTCCTTTTAAAGAATCTTTCCTACTGATTCCATGAGGTGATGAGCTATGCTAGTCCACAGTACACAATCAGGGAAGATTATTCTAACTCTTAGCTGGGACAGTGTTTATTTGTCTAGAAAAGAATGAATTGATTTTGCAAGGAAGACATTTCTTTTTAGAAGATGGGAAATATAAATCAGTGATGGACATAATTTTCTGGAAGGTTTGGAAGATACGCAAAATTTACTTGCTTTCATTACTGGTAATGTTTTGCCATGTCAGAATAATATTGATTGGAATAAATAACAATATAAAAATTTTGTTTGTGCCTTTGAAACATAAAGTTTCTAAGATACACTTTGGTGCTGAGTCTTGATTCACCTAAATGTGTTTTTTGTTTTGGTAAAACGTTCAAAATGGAGAAGATTGCACTGTTTCTCCTTTACTGTTAAGAATGGCTGGTAACAAGCTGAAAGCTCAATCTAGAAATGTCTGAACAGCAAAAGGACTATAAATTACTTTGCTGTAAGATCAGGTTAATAACCTCAAAATCGTCTTTAGTAGGTAATGTTACATTTCCTCTTGCATTTTACTTTTCACACAAGGCAAGGGTGTCCTTACCTTTGAACATCACTGCTTTCCCCTCCATACCTGTCAGCCTGATGTCCACACAAATCATCAGGCAGAAGGTAAATTGTAGATAGCAGGTACTGAGTCAAGTTTCATTGAGATAACTCCTGTAATATCTCCCCTGTCTTGAGTGCTGAGGGGAAAACCCTCAGTCAACATAATAACTTTTCTTTTGGATGATCACACATCATCTCTGTGGGTAGACAATACAATTTACCCCATCATCCAATGTTCAGTAATGTTCTTTCAAGAAGAGGGGAAAGAATTCCTACTTTCTGATAAAAATCATTAGAGGAGGCATTTAGAAAGCAGTATGAACTTATAGATACCTTTCTTGGTGAGGATATAGAATGGATAAAATAAAAAAAATCATAATATAAGTGAGGTAAGAGGGAGGGAGGGGAACTACACTGACCACTCACATCTGGAACACAGACTTCATAGAGTGAAATCAGGCCACAGTGAATATTATATTGTTCCTTAAAATATATATTTTTATACATATATTTTATATAGTCTTGGCTTGAAGTGCTTGAAGCCCTAAAACAGTGCCAGGATTTAAAATAAGACAGAGAACACACAAATTAAAGGAATTTCATTGGTTTATCTGAAAATAGAATTAAATAGAATTTTTTCAGATTAAAATTGCTTTTCTTACAAGAGGCCTTGGTCAATACACAGAGACTTCCTGCATGAACATGACAGTGTCCAGAGACACATCACATAAAACATTATGATAATATAAGTTGTATTGAAAATTAATCCTAAAGTGCAAATTTGATAAAACAAAATACAATATCTAGAACATTCCAAGAAATATTTGACCAACATATTCACAAAATGGTATAGCTTTTCCTTAAAATAAAATATTATTCTAAACCTATCCAACACCTCTTCTCCAAAAGTGGATTAATCTGCAATACATACATAAAGAAAGGTAATGATCTGAGAGCAAAATTATACCATGCTCAGTATGGCATTAAACACCTCAGCCTATATGAAATACTCAGCGAGTTTGCTGATGGCACTAAGAGGGTGACAGGTCTGAGGGACAGGCTGTCATCCAGAAGGACTTGGCCAAACTCTACACCCTGGCCTATGGGAATGTCATGAGGCTTAAGAAGGCCAGCTACAATGTGCTCTGCCAGTATCAACACAGGCTGGGCAATGAACAGGCAGAGAGCAGCCCTGCTGAGAAGGGCTTGGGGGTGCTGGTGGGTGAGAGGCTGGACATGATCCAGAAATGTGCACTCACAGCCCCAAAAGCCAAACGTGTCATGAGCTGCATCCAAACCAGCGTGACTGCAGGGTAAGGGATGTGATTTTCCCCCATGCTCCATTCTTGTGAGACCCTACCTGAAGTCCTGTGTGCAATTCTGGAGTCCTCAGTACGGGAAAGACACAGACCTGTTTGAGCAGGCCCAGAGGAGAGCCAACAAAGTGATTAGGGAGCTGAAGAACCTCTCCTAAGAAAACAAGCTGAGAGGGTTTGAGTTGTTCAGCCTGGAGAGGAAATTATTTTGGGGAGACCTTATAGCATTTTCCAATATCTAAAGGGGGCTGACCACAGAGCTGAGGAGGGGCTTTTTATGAGAGCATGTAGTGATAGGACAAGGGGGAATAGAGGTAGATTTAGATTAGCTAATAGAAAGAAATTCTTTACTGTGAGCCTGGTGGGGCAGTGGAACAGATTGTCCAAAGAGGTTGTGGATGCTTCATCCCTAATGGTGTTCAGATCCAGGTGGGATGGGGTTTTGAGCAGCCTGGTCTAGTGGGATGGGTCCTTGGCCATGGTGGGGGGGTTGGAAGTAGATGGTCTTTCAGGGTCCCTTCCAATCCAAATGATTCCATGATTCTCTGAAAATCCTACTCAGCTTGGCTTGCTTTCTCCTGTCAAGGAAGCTCTTGCCTTTACCTTAATGGTGAATGACACTCCGTGTATAAGATTTCACCTTCGGGTACTGGAGTGGCACCTGATGAGACACTGGGCAGGGCATTGCACCTAGATTGCTCTTCATCTCCACTTATGTATGCAGAGAGTCAAAATCCCTTTGCTGAGATCATAAAACCTGGTGATATGTCATGGCTGTCTGGTTTTATGCTTTCAACTCCAAGTGCCCACTTCAGCCAAGTACATTTAGCACACAGGAACTCAGGGCTAGGAACATTATTTAGTGTTTGTGTTTCTTCCTGAACATCAGCGACTCTGTAGATATCAGACATACCTTACTGAAGCTCCTGAAGGAAAAATAGCCCCTTCTCTTTTCTTTTAAAGGAGAATAGTTTCAAGAGGGTGATGGGAGTCAGCAAAGCAGCCTTCAGCCTTGGGACTTAGTCTGGTTGCCCAATGCTGCTACCTGCTGTACAAACAACTTACTTCCAGTCAGAAATGTTCCTCAAGTTTTCAAGCTGGTTTAATTTGGAGCAAGTCTGTTGATTGAACTGCACTAAGAGAATTAAAGAAATACACTTCCTGCTCTAACTTGAAGACCTGGCCTTTATTAGGGACAAGATACACGACAAGATTCTAATTTTTGCTTCCTCGAGTTTGAGTATCTAATCAAACAGAACAGGCCACAGCCCTGGGATATTGAGCAAAGATCTCCAGCAATCTCAGTCTAGAATAGGTGTCCAAGACAGGACAACCACCTCTTTCTTGTTAGACACTAGATGCTCAGAGTACATGCCCAAATTTTCTTGACCTAGTTATTTTGCCTTTCTCTGCCCTAGTGAAAGGAGATATTTTGGCCAAAGAAGAGCTTGGCAGTTACAGCCTTTGCATTTGGGAATCTTCCCAGAATATTTAAAGATGCCATAGTTCATATCTCACAATGTTTCAGATCAACATTATTAAGCCAACTATAGCAGTTTTGATCAGAAACACCCTTGTTCAAGAGCAAGGGCAGAGAAACTTGGGCCACAATGTTTAGGCTGAAGCCTGGGTTCATAATTTTATTCTTATCACTATCAAATAGAGAAGCTGGAGGATGCAATACTTAAATGTATCAAACACATGAAGAGCACATGGATGTGCTCATTTTTGCATGTGGATACACATGCATGGCCAAGGAAAAGCTGTTTATGTGGAAAACAGCACCAATATTCCTTAGGATTAAATGTATGGTGCATGTGATGTTCTTAGCATACTGCCCTGTATTTCTCCATTGCAGATGTGCAAATTATCTGCTGGCATTTGATTAACCAGTGCCAGCTGACTGATACAACTTGGTCTACTTATATTGAAAGGAACCAGATGGCTCCTACAAAGTAACTCTAAAGATAAAGGTGAAGATTTCATTGGGAGATAAAAATGCTTTGGTGACTGATGCAGCACAGGGTTGTGCAGTTACATTACTGACTCTCGTCAGAATATATACATCAGCCTATTTCTGGTAATCTCAGAAAAATTCCAAGTCCAGCTTTGAATGCCAATTGCATACAAAGCCATGTTCTGGTTCTTCTGAAACCTGGCAGGTGATCAAACCCCTACCCATTGGATAAACTGTTAGTTTGGTATTTAGTACACAAAGACACTTGGAGAGACAGAGAACAAGCAAAGCAATTGATATCTTTGAGTAAAACCTACCATAGCTTTACTCAACTTTCCTCTTAATATTCTCTAATTTTTAAAGATTATTAAAGCAACCACGATTGTATGTATCTAGTGCCAGTGAAATCAAAACATGAAAGGATTAAAAAATGCGAAGTGTAATAGATAGGCAAAGCAAGGCATTGATAAGGAAGGCAAGAATAGATGAAAGTAGGAGGGAAGAATGAAAAGAATTAGTATTCCAGA